AAATTTTTTTTTTTTAATTTTTAAATTTACAACAAAATTTTTTCTAATTTTGGAAAATCATATACAATCATATCGGTTACTTGGATTTTTTAATTTTTTTATTCTATATCTTTTTGTAAAGAAAACAAAATTTTTTTTTCTTAATAGTCTTATGAACGTGGACTTGGCGGGATTTTTTTACAGTGAAACTGTTTTTGTTCGGATCAAAATTACAATCAAAATCGTTATCATCCGGGAATACTAAGTCCTACTAGGAAAGGGGTACGCTTCGAAGAAGACGAGGACTCGGAAGAAGCTAAATTACGGCACAAATCGGACCCTTCGGTAATCTGTAACTGCCCTTTCTGCCCAAAGGGAGAACGTCGGGACGCGTACGATCCTTTAAACCGGTCGGGTGCTCGTCAACCGGAGGCACTGGCGAGTATGCCCATCCAGTCTCCGTCTACTTCAACGAGAGTTCCCAGCAACTATCAACCATCTCAAAGAAGCCAATATCAGGGTTATCAGAATCAATATCCTCGATCAATTCTTCAAAATTCCCAGAAACAAGTCCTGGAACATCAATCAACAATGACAGAACCGATGTCTCCTCCCAGATTGGAACAACAACCGCTAATTCAGAACAGCATGACGTCACAACTGGGACAGCAGAACCCGCAATTGATGACCGCCGGAGAGCTAGGAGCCCAGGCGAGGACGAACCAAAGTGTCTAACAACAGGGAGAGGCCCTACAGTCCATCTACGAAGTCCAGCACTTCGAAACGGGGGAGTAAATGCTCTTCTCGACACCGGTTCCGACCTTAATCTGCTCTGCATCGAAGAACTATGCGACGAGGCCCTCTGTAACATCGAAAATACGGGAGTAGTCGGAGGCATTGCTACAAGCTCAATGCCTATAACCGGTTCAATAAATCTTAAAACATTCGGAGTTAAAATCAAATTTCATCTCGTACCAGAACCACCTGGTGGTTATAGGGCTATTCTCGGAAATGAATATTTTGTTCAAAATCGTGTAACCATCTCGTTTTACTGGAACACCCTAGTAATGAAAAATAGACTTATAAATCCAATACCGATAATTAACCCACGAAAGTTTCCTGAGCAAAAAATCCTCGTTCTAGGAACAGGGCCGAAAATTTACATCTCGTGTAATCTGCTCCTAGGTAATTATCAGCGATTCCTCATCGATACCGGGGGGATGTGTGCCTCATCAATGCATCCGCTTTAAAACCCGAAGCAATTATCGATATTGGAAAAGCTCGAAAATTCCGTGGTCTCAGCGACAATACCTTTCAGACCTTAGGGATAGTTAAATTAAAAATTCTCAATATCGAAGTCGAGTTTCAAGTTTGTCAAGAGGATTTACCATTCCCCGGAGTGGGAATCCTGGGAAACAATTTTCTTGAAACTGAAAAAGCAGAAATTTCTTATAATAATCAAACTTTAGTTTTATTATCTTGTCCAACGAAGACAACATCCTTTAGCCTTGATACAAAGCCTTCTTCAAGCTACACATTACCACCTCGTATGAAAATGGTAGTAGCAGTGCCTGTCCAAGATTTCGAAAAGAGCGAGGGATACCTTCCTCGAATGAATCTTCCGGACGGAGTGCTCGGAGGAGAGGCCGTTGTCCAAGTAGAGGATGGCTATGCTACTTGCATGGTTATTAATCTTAATTCAAATCCAGTTGACATAGACATCGGACCCCAAGCACTCGAAGAGTTCGAGTTCAGTCACCCTAGCTCAGATGGGGATAAGTCCGATGATCCTTCTATGGAAAACTCCAATCGTGTAACTAATCCGGAAAAACGTATTAAAATTCTGCTTCAGAAAATACCTCTAGGTCATCTCAATGAGGAAGAAAAAGAGCAAGTTCAGGCTCTAATACAAAATAACCACGATGTTTTCCATCTTCCTGGAGATAAGTTAGGTTGTTCGAAAAATTTCACCTGCTGGATTGAAACTATCACCAACGAGCCAGTAAGAATAAAACAATACCGATTTCCCCCAGAACATCGGGAGGAAATCGCCAGGCAGGTCGAAAATCTTGAGAAACAGGGAATAATACGAAAATCTAATTCTCCGTACAATTCACCCTTGTGGATTGTACCAAAAAAATCAAATGACCCTTCTATAAAAAAATATAGAATGGTTATTGACTTTAGACAGTTAAATAAAATAACTAGGGGGGATGCCTATCCCTTACCACTAATTATCGATATTTTAGACCAGTTAGGAGACGCTAATTTCTTCAGCGTCTTCGATCTCGCCATGGGTTTCCACCAGGTCCCAATGCACCCCGCGGACGCGCCAAAAACGGCATTTTCTACACCAGATGGTCACTGAGAATATTGCTGTATGCCCTTTGGTCTAGAATGTGCTCCGTCTATCTTTCAAAGAATGATGGATTCCACGTTAAGCGGGTTAAAAAGGGCGGAACTTTTCATTTACATCGATGATTTAGTTATTTATGGTAAAAACTTAGCTGAACATGAAGTAAAAGTACAAAGATTATTTAACAGGTTGAGAGAAGCAGGTCTCACGCTTCAACCGGAAAAATGTAAATTTCTTTGTCCGGAAGTAGATTATTTAGGTCACGTAATTACGAAAGAGGGCATACGGCCCGACCCGAAAAAAATCTCGTCACTTAAAAATGCCTCGCGACCTAGAAATCACACAGAAGCCAGAAAATTTATGGGGCTTGCAAATTATTACCGACGTTTTATCCAAAATTTCGCGGAAAGGGCTAAGCCCATAACAGATCTTACGCGAAAGACTAAACCTTTCATATGGACAGAGGAAGCGCAAGCGGCATTTGACGATATCAAAAATGCCCTCTGCGAAGACCCTTTTCTAAAATATCCAGATTTTAATAAACCCTTTATCCTGGCTGTCAGCGCGTCGGACCCGGGAATATCCGGAATTCTCAGTCAAGCAACGACAGTGGAGGACGATGACCCAGACGGTGACGGAGAAAAGATAGTCTCGTGTGTCTCAAAAGTCTTTCACGATACTGAAACTCGATACACAGATGTAGAAAAACAATGTCTCGCGGTAGTTTACGCAATTCAACAATTCAGACCGTTTCTCCAAAAACATTTTACTCTCATAAATAGTAGCCCTTGTGTTACCTGGTTAAGAGATAGTGCAACTGTCACCGAAAGACAAGCCAAATGGCGCTCTAAATTAAGTAGATATGAATTTAATGTCGTAGTCCGCCACAAAATTACCGCGCAATACGCGGAAGGGCTCTCGTATAACCCAGAAGGTCGTCCTGAACCTTCAGGAAACCCGATAAATAATAACACCGAAAATAATCCTCTAGCATTACCGATTTCTGCTATACCAAAATCAAAAGGATCGGGTAAGAAACTCTCTGACTTGGAGGCGATTCAAGCGGTCAAACGCCCCGGTCGCCCGGTTCCGAAATCTAAAAATCGACCAAGAGTCAGCAGTGCTCCCGAAGTGAGAGATACAATAGCCTCTCGTCTTAGGAAAAGGGAGATGGGGAAAAACGCGAGTCCCACCGAAAATAAATTATCACGAAACTAGCAACATCGATATAACTTCAGAAGACCCGGAGAAGACACAGGAAACCGGAAATGAAGAACAGGGGGACGACGAAGTCTTCCTACCAGTTTCCACACCAGGACCATCCACGAGTAATCCGACTCCAGACATTGGGCAAGAGGGGGACGATGAATCAGAGAAGGAAGATGAAGCCGAAAAGGACAACGAAACGATCGTTCCACAAAAACAACGACGAAAAACTCGCGAACTAGTAAAAATGTTCGATGAGCTCCTCCAAAGGCGGCCTCCAGCAGAAAATATATACACAGAGAGAGCACTAGAAAGAATCCGCAGAGAAGAAGCAATATCTAATTATACTCCTCAAGAGTATGCCGAAATAAAACGAACTAGTTCCGACACCGCGAAAAATATTCGCCAATCATTAAACAAACTTCCACCTCTCTGGCAAAGTGAAGATGACTCGTTAAATGAAGATACAGCACCCGAAATTAATGTTGACGAATTTCTGAGAGATAACAGCGATCAGCCTGAAGAAGGATCAAGCGATATCAGCCCAGAAGAAACCGGAGGAGTCGAAGATCTCAGCGAAGTGGAGCATCCCATCATCATAGAGCCAAGGCCTCCGACCTCAGCAGACGACATTAATACAAGAAACGTCATCGATACAGATGATGAAGAAAATGAATCCGACAAAAATACTCTAACTCCTCGAAACGTAAATCGATCTCGGTTTACAGGGTATTTAGGAGACGGTCCAGAACCTCGAACTCCAATATTCGGAAGAGTTCTCATACCTGATGAGCTAGCGGCTATGGGTATCCGTTATGACCACGCAAGCCGCCAAATCGTAGACGAAAACGGTAAGGGAATAAACGAAACGGCCGAAACCGAATCGGCCGACCCCAATAACACCCCTATCGAATCGGAACGGGGACGATCAAGCGAAAATTCGTCAAATATAATTAGATTAACGAGTCCACAAAATAACAATAAAAATAAATCGCAAAATAGTTCAGGAAAATCTAGCGATTCAGATAAAAACAAAGATAGGCCAACTACAAGCGGGAATGCAACAGTGGGGGATGACGTCGGGAACCGCCGATTCGGACCACCCTTTGTCGCCTACGACCCACCAACTTTCGAAGAGGCGGAAGATATCTTTGCCGAAAGACGTCATCGGCCAAGGATATCTTCACCCTCAAGTTCAGACGAAAGTATACCCCCAAAAGGCCCCGAAATAAAAATTAAATTTTCAATCAGCCGAGACGGGCTCACTTATGCCCGGGATCATTTAGTACACTTTTTAGCAGCCGATTGCGAGATAATTAAACCCGTAGCGAAGCTGCTCCGCGACTTAAAATTTATAAATGCCGATGATCTTCATGCCTCGAAACCTACAAAAGGAGACGTATTTGTCACCAAGCTAGGTCGTTGCAAAATTTTTACGGTATTTATCAAAACAAAACATTTCGAAAAATTAGACCCCATCGATCTGATCGAAGGATTGAGAAATCTTCGCCAGTCGATGCATAAACACGACATTCACTCGCTTCGCTGTGCAAAGCAGGGGGATGAATTCGATGATTTAGATATTCAGGCTTATCTATTACACGAGTTAAGAGATTGTCCGATAACGATTACTTTGTGTGAAGGGAACGTCGAGGTGCCAGACGAATCCCTCCGAACAAAAATAATCGAAGAAAATCATAATAGCTTAATAGGGGGCCACAAAGGCGTAGTAAAAACGTATTGGCGTATTCGCGAAAAATATTACTGGCCAGGAATGAAAGATAAAATCTATAATTACATTCGAGCATGCGAAATATGCCAGAAAAATAAACTTACGCGAATAAAAACAAAACAGCCTATGTCTATCACAGATACACCTTTCGAACCTTTCGAAAAAATTAGCATAGACACGGTAGGACCCCTGCCCATGACCCCCGGCGGAAATGTACATATCTTAACTATACAAGATAATTTTTCTAAAGCAGCCGCGGCAGTTCCTCTCCCCGATATCAGACCAGTCACTGTTGCAGATGCTTTATTAAATCACTATATCGCTCTTTACGGGTGCCCCCGCGTAATTCTATCAGACAAGGGCACCTCATTTACCAGTAAACTAATGCAACAACTTGCTAGAGCATTAAAAATCCAAAGAATAACAACTTCATCTTACTACCCTCAATCGAACGGAGCCTTGGAAAGATCTCACCAGCCTTTAATCGATTACCTCCGGGCTTACGTAGATAAATTTAGTAACTGGGATCGGTATATTCCAATAGCAATGTTAAATTATAACACGACCGTTCATTCAGCAACAAAATTTACACCATATGAAATTTTGTAGGGAAGAAAAGCTTGAAGTCCGACTCAATTCCCGGATTTCAGTAAAGTCGAATCATATAACGACTATTTAGCGGACTTAATTTGTCGAATATCCGAGATTCAACGAATATCCGCGGAAAATTTAACTAGAGCGAAACACGAATCAAAAATCCGTTTCGACAAACTGTAACGTTACATTTTATGTAGCGTTACAGTAGTGGTGTATTTGTGTGATATCGTGAGTTTTTGGTGTATAAAGTACGGTAATGTCGTAGTATCAAGAACTATCGAGAGAGTGTGCTTGTGAGAGAGTTGTCTCGAGGATGTCGAGCTGCACTGCGGAAAAGTGACCGATGTAACGTGTCTCCCGGTCAGTTACCGATGACTGAACTTAGGTTCAGCCTCTTGGAGCGAGGTGATTATCGCGGAGGAGCGACTGAAATGTCGTCGCCCCAGAGTACGGAAGTTTGACAGGCTCATGCGGTAGTTTGCGGTTGACAGGCCTCGATTGCTGGAGGCTCGAGGGTAGTCGCGAGTACTGTCAAGGCTCCCAGGGGAGCGTAATCACTGGTAGGTCTGGGACACTAGTTGTGTGAGTGGGGATGAGTGTGAAGTTTGTATGTCTGGGGGTAGCGTGAAAGTGAGTTGAGTGTATGTAGCTGGTGCATGAATGTAGTGGGGGTACGGTGAGAGGCAGTTTGGCTGGAGTAGTGAAACAGTAAGGATTGTTTTGTGTGGAAGTCTGGATTTATAGAGGAGTCTTGTGGAGGTCCTCGTAGAAGACGGACGTACCGTCGCTGCTAGGCAGCGTTAGTTATGTACCGTAAAAAGAGTCAGTTACGAACTCCCGTAGAGTGAGCATCGCGTTAGAGAGTTAAGTGAGTCTCTCGTATCGGAGCTGGCGTGCCTCACGCTTGCTATTACCGGAGATGAATGGCCCAAGCCATTGTCTTTGTTTCGTGTTCGTTTGAGACTGCTTCCGCGATATTTTTAATATCGATTTATTTTATTTTACCGATTAATAAGGTTGAGTGTTAGTTTGAGAGTACCGATTAGTGTACTAGATACCGTTTAGTCCCGTTTTATAAGGAAATTACTTCCTTTGAAAGACCGAATCACGACCCTCTCTCCATAACCTGCATAACTGAGCGACACCGAGGTATTCCGTTACCGTCGAGGCTGCTCTTGGTCTTCTGGGAACATAAAAATTAAGTTATCGTATCCCGGGTGCCGATACCGGTGAAACAAAAGTCGGCTGGCGCCTGTCGGGGTTCCTGGAGGATCGAGAGGTGGCTGAGATGGACGAAGTGTAACGTAGTGAATTATCGTTTGCCGTGATGATCTACCACGTGACAAAGAGTTACGTTACAAAACATATACATCCGGCAAAATTTAACGTAGGAGACCTCGTATACACGCTGAAAGAACCGAGGAAAAATAAATTAGACCTTTTTTATATCGGTCCATACGAAATAGTTGAAATAAACGAAATGGGTAATTTTAATAATAGAAAAAGAAAACGGGAAACGGGAATTACTCCATCCGAATAAGGCTAAACCAGCTAGCCGCGAAAAATTTAACTAAAAAGAACCCAAGTCTTTTGTTTCAGAAAATCAATCCATCATGAATACTGTGCTACTTCTCCTCCTGGGGCTTGGATACCTGGCCTGGGGCGCAAGGGAAGTCAAAATAAAACCAATGGAGGCAAATCCAGGTCTGCTGTATGATCCATTCAAGAAAATCCATCTAATACGAGAAGAATGGCAGCTGGTTAGCTCCATCAACGTCGAGAAATTGGTGAATCTATATCCGCATTCCAACCAAACTCTATGGGAAGCTTACGGAATATGCTCGTTAAAATTTAACCATTCAATCTGCATGTCATATATGAGAGTCAATAGCCATCAAGAAATACAAGCAGAAATTGAACAAGCTCAACATCGGCTGAGACAACTCTTCGAAGATCCACAGCTAGAAGAGTTCAACTCACGAAACCGCACCAAGAGAGCTCCCTGGTTCGGCTTCGTAGGCACAATTGCACGTGAGTTGTTCGGCACCATGGACTACAGTGACAAGGAACACATCACCAAAGAAATAGACAAATTATACCAAGACAACAGGGAATTAGTACACTTATCACAAAACAATACTCACATCATCAGGAGTGAAATAAATGAAATTCTAAAACATGAAGTAAATATAACCGAGAGAATCAAGGAAGTGGTTCGAACATCAGCTTACCTCAAGAAAGCAGTAAACAAACAACTGAGCGATCTTCAAAGAAGTCAATTATTCTCTATGGCTGCAGATGAGCATATTCACCTGATGACCAACCACCTAAGGACTATCAACAACGCAGAAAAGACCATAGAAGAGGCAAAATGGGGTAAATTCACCTATTTAACAGTGTCAGCTAAACAACTACATCGGGCAACTGCTGATATGATGAAAAAACATCCAACGTTAAATCCACCTCAACCTCTGGATCACATGGACATCAATACACTAGCCAGAGTATCGACAGTGGAAACAGGAAAAACAAATGGACACTTCCTGATAATAATCACCGTGCCGCTTTTTGACCAGATGCCATGGTTAGCGTACGAACTTAAATCGCTACCAAAACCTGAGAAAATTGGAGACCAAATATCAACATTGACAATTCAGCCAACATCGAAATACCTCGTGTCAGAGCCATCGTTCGATGAATATTTTCTCGCTGGACAGGACTACATTAACAGCTGCAAGCCCATCGGACCAGACATGGCATGTCCGCCTGACCTTCCGTCCAAAACAACTAAGTTGGAGAATGAGGTAGATTGCGAAATGAAATTGTTAATGGACCCAAAAACTGAAAATCTACGGGAATGTAATATAAGAATTATCCAAAAATGCAAGCTGACTTGGATAAAAATGAACAAGAAAAACACCTGGGCATATTCAACGTGCAAACAAGAAACTATTCAATGGAGATGTCCAGGACAAACAGCTGAAAATCGCATAATTAATGGAACTGGACTCATACACATCCAACAAGGATGCCAAGTAAACTGCAATGAATATACAATCCGAGGAATTGCAAGAGAGTCAACAAAAATAGACCTCATTGCCCCGAGTTTCAATCTTTCCTTGGAAACATTAAACTCGAGCCTAAAAATCAACGACGCAGTTCCAAATTCGTTCACGCAAAGTCAAGACCCAACTACAATCATCGACAAATTTGAACCTTGGGGCCAAGGGCTAGAAGAAAATGAAGAAAAAATGTCATTAATAGCTCTAGACCATCAAAAAGAGGAAATCAACCGTAAAAGAACCATCGGATCGGTAACAACATTAGGAATAATATCACTCATAATAGGGGGGATAGCTATACAGAAAACTATCCGCCAATTCTTATCCAAGCCTTGCAAGCTCAGCAGAGTCGATGAAAAACCAGTCATAATTCAACTACAAACTGTTGAAGAAAAGACGTCGACCTCTGAAGAAGTCAAGGAACCACATCCAACAACAGTAACAACCGAAGAAGCTCCTGGGACCGTCGAGAAATCAACAAAGCCGAAAACCTTCCGGCTGAGAGACTACAAATCACCGATTTAGACAAAAACCTCAGCTTCAACTTCGTAGAAGTTAAGGTCATTTATAAAAAAACTTTTTATATAAACAAACTGATGGCTCATTTGCGGAAAACTGAAAATCAGTAACTTGCAAAATAATAATAGAATTTTTCTTTCCTGTTGGAAATATCGTTTAATAAAAAAAAAAAAAAAAAAAATTGCCAAAAACGAGCCAACAGTTTGTATAAACCAGTTAATATTTTTTTCTCTCTTTTTTCAAATATTTTCATATAGTAGAGAGTATAATGAAAAACAGTACGTTCCTCTAAAATTTTGAAAAAAAAAATGTTTTGCTGCTTTAGGACTTACAAGACCGAAGAAAATAATATCTCCGGCCTTGGGGGGACGAGTGAGGATAGCGCAAAACCTCGATTTAAAATTTTTTTTCTGAAAACAAATTTTTTTTTTAATCCATATTTTATCTATAAAACTCTTTCATTCTACTATCACTATGATTATATTTTATTATTATATTATTATAAGTTACTATCATTATACCTTACATTCTTATATACCTATTATCATCATTATATCAAACAAATTTTTTTATATATATATATAACTTTTATATAACTATCATAATTATACTTTAAATAATAACTGAAAGGAAAATTGAGCTAACGTCACTTATAAAAATCTTTTTTTTTGGAAATCATAAATTTTTTTTTCTCAAAACGATTATTTCAAACGTCTAATATTCAATAAGAATAAATATAAGTAAATAAGAGGATAGGGAGAGTCATCTAATGGCAATTATAATAGAGCCGCTGCACACGTACTCACACATACCCATTGATCGTGCTATATAAACTCTTATAAAATGTACTTTTTTTCTTTAAATTGAATGCAAGGAAAAGGCGCTAACAGCAGCCCCGGAATCGCGGATCCGGTAATCAGAAATAATCCTGCAAGTAGTAAGTACATCTATACTCAATAAAAATCCGTGCTCAGTCTCAAACGAAGGCGTGGTAAATTCGTACATCGAGAACGTCCCACATAAATAATTAAAACAACGGAATTAAAAACTCCGTTGCGTATTCTTTAAACTGTTTGTCCAAACCTCCACCGTTTACGCTACCGCTCTAAAAACGCCCTTGGACATAACAAAAGCATACAAAAGCTATTTCTTTGAGCTCGAAGAGCTCAGAAACGTCATAAGTGCAATCTCAAGCGTTTAGGTATGGAATTGGCGGGAAGTTGCAGGGATGGCCTTTAGGGTAAACCATTTTCCAGATATTTTTTTGTTAAATTCATTGTTCTAATCTTAAAAGATTCTGAAATTTTTAGAACTTTTTTTTTTCAAAAATGTGAATTTTTGAATTAAAAATTAAATGTTTTGTTTTTTTTTGCAATTTCTAAATGAGGTTCAGTTATGCTAATACATAGTATTGTAATTTTGAGCATTAAAAAATTAAATACACGACCTTGAATTATTAAATAATAAATTAGTTTCAACTTCTTTTGATTTTTTGGACATAATCTTAGTCAGGCTTAACACATGATATAGTTTCTTATTTTTTCAACGCATGATATATTTTATCCGTTTCTTCACTTCAATTACAGTTTTCAACGCCAAATACCTCTAACAGATATTAATTTTTAATATAAATTAGAAATAATATGATGAAAATATCAACTTGTTTTCGTTCTTTCGAATACATGTTTTTTTACAAATTTCTGCATATTAAGGGGCCATGAAAGAAGATTTGATAACATTTTTATGAGATAATTTTTGGTGCATTGTTTTGAGCTAAATTTTATACAGATTTTAATAAAATTTAATCCAAATATAAAAAATAGAATAATAAAAGCAGGGAACTAATTTATTTATGAAATATTTACAAAAAAAAAATTAATTCAAAAGAAAAATCGCAACTTTATACAGCCTACATAAATCTACGTCGAAATAATGAGTTTTTGTTTATTTTATGGAAACAATGATTATAAAAAAGAGTTTCCTGCATTCTTTGTCACTACTTAGTTATAAAAAATTTATAAAACCGATTATTTATAATCACAATTATTAATAATAATGTACCGAATGTACGATAATTACATTCAGTGCATTATACACGTAATTCCCTAGGAGCTGATTACACGATAAATATATTTTCGGCCCAGTTTCTAGAGCGAGGATCTTTTGCTCAGGGAACTTTCGTGGGTTAATTATTGGTATTGGACTTATAGGCTTATTTTTCATTACTAAGGTGTTCCAGTAAAATGAGATGTTTACACGATTTTGAACGAAAAATTCGTTTCCTAAAATGGCCCTATAACCGCCGGGAGGTTCTGGAACGAGATGGAACCTAATTTTTATCCTGCCTAGGCCCAAAATTCGGATTCTATCCATTCTATCTGAGACCCAAGTGATACATTCTATCCTCGGTTTACCTTTCTATCCTCGGTTTACCCATTAGTGCGCATGTGCGATACTATGCGCGTCAGTACTCACACGCATCAAGCTTCAGAACAGCTGTCACGACGCCATTAGCAATATCTCGGCAATAAAAACACATATCAATTGTGATATAATTTACGTGATTTAGTTAATAGTTTATGAAGTTAAATAATTATAAAACAATTAAAAAACTAAAATGAGCTCATCTGAAACGTCAGTGATGAGTGACAGTGGCAAAGAGGGTACTGACTACATTCAAGCTGATACTTGTCTAGTTCAGAAAGTAACCCTGATTTAAAAAAAGTATTGAACCATGCAACTGTATATCTATATTGTATGTATATATAGATATACAGTGTGTGAAAAGTATTGAAAAAGTATTGAATTACATACTTTTTCAATACTTTTTTTTAATCAGGGAAGTTTTATAATAATAATTATAATAATAATAATAATAATTGAAAATTTAGTTAGCCGACATTTAAAAATTTTTTATAATTTTTTTTTTAATTATTTCAAAAAAACAAACAAAAATTTCATTTATAAAATTTTAATTTATTTATTAAATTATTATTTATTTTAATTTAAAAAATTAAAAAACTATAAGTGCAATATAAATATTTATTATAAATATTTTAAGTTCTAATTTAATAAGAGAAAAAGAAATCAAAATATTAAAAACGTCAGCTAACTTTATTATTATTAATAATAATATTAATAATAATAATAATAATGATAATAATTAAATATATATACAATTTTTTTTTCTATTTACAAATATATATTTACACAAATTATAATTTTGTAATTAAATTACTATGTTTCAGGTCATTTTAATTCTAGGATTTTGTGGAGCGGTGTGATGCAAAGAACTTCGATTGTTAAATCATAATGATGTCGAAGATGTTGGGTCTAAATTTATCGAATCTGTTCGAGACACCAAAAATTATTACCCACGATCTTTTGTGATCATGAATCAATACTACAACTTTGTCAAAAATTACATCGCTAATAAACTTTTCGAACTGTTGATAAGAAAAATATTTATATTTTGTTTTTTCCAAAGAAAATATAAAAATATAAAAATACAAAAAAAATAAAAATTATAAAATAATATAATTTAAAATAAGTATTTTTGAGGTGGGGCCCCCCCCAACCCCCCGCCGGGGCTTTGCCCCGGACCCCACCGGGGCTTCGCCCCTGGACCCTACCAAGGCTTCGCCCGTGGACTCCATGCACGAATCACTGAGTCATTAAACTTTTTTACGAATTTTGGGCCTGGCAGGATAAAAAATAGTATGTGCAACATAGGACCAAAGTACTACATTTCTGTCCCGGGTATGGGATTACCACCCGAGCCGAAGTACTTTGGTCAAAGTAGTACTTTGGTCCCATGTTACACAATATACTATTTCTGGTGCTCATTTTAATGATTACACGATATTTCTCCTTTTTCTGCTTATTCGTATGTTTAAAGAAAATTATTCCATAGTTTATTGTCTTTATATACGATTCCGTGAAGTAAGTAAGTGCGTGATGTAAGCAAAGGATAGCGTGCAATAATCGGCTATTTTAGTTCCGCGCAAGCGTGATTTAAAAGTGATTTTAAGTCGCTGAGTACTATAAATATAAATAACGTTCTGTTATTGTAAATAAAAATTCTAAGTGGAGATAAGAAGAAAATTTACAATTCAAATATTTTTTGAAGAAAAAAAAAGATGCGTATTTTTTTATTTTTTATTTAAAAAAAGTAAAACTATTTGTGTGAATAAATTTATTTGATTAAAATGTATTGACTTGAGAGATTTATCGACTTTGTCGCGTATCAGGTAAAAAGTTTTTAGGAGATTAAGTATTTTTTATTCGTTTAAATTTATTCTCATTAATTTTAAAAAACTTATTCGGTGATCTTATACTTTGTTTATCGTAGAATTTCATTAACTGATAAAAAAAACCTGTCGCTTAACGATAGCAAAGCTTTTTTTTTTTTATTTCAGTTTCGCTTGTCGTCGATAATCGATTCGAAATGTTTTTTTATCTGATAGCCGCAAGTGTCGAGTGGGTTTAGAATTCCATTTCGATAGATATATTATCTATATCCAGGTAATTCTACCGTAATCTTTAATACCGATTAAAAAAATGCAAATTTGTTTATTCTTTTTTTTTTTTTTTTTTTTTTTTTTTTTGCCTTTTTTTAATTAATTAATTAATAAACTACTTACGTATCCATAGCGACTGCAAGTTGCTATCTTAGACGAATCTGGTAAAAAACCAATATCAGATACCCAGACGGGTACACGCATCTCCAACCAGTCATGTCGAACGTTTTTTTCTTTGAACGTTACTTTGTCTTGCTCCAAATCATATAATTGCAAAGGATGCTCTTTTCCTCCGGTTGCTATTATATTCTTATTGAATTTATTGTGTCTCATGGCGTGCAAATCCTCATTCGTTTTTATAACTTTTATACTTTCGCTGCGTCTCCATAGATTAATGTCTCCAGATTCTACTGCTGTTATTATACAACTGGAAAATTTTTAAAATCGTTCAATTATGTTTTTTACAGTAATTAATAATTGTCATAGAGTTTAAATAAAAACTTACTCATTGTAACGAGAAATTCCACGAATTTTTCCAGCACTGACATTGCAGGAAAACGAAGTCGAAAAAGCCGAGTGTTGTGAGTCGTAAACTTTTACACTAAAATATTTAATTTTAAATTAATAAATAATAAAAATATTAAAAATAAACATACCTTCGATTTTCAGCAGATCCACAACCAATAAGAACATCTTTTTCATCATCATCATCACCCCAAGACATTGTTGTTACTTCATGATCTTTTGTAATTGATACTAAATTTTGTATATTTTTTGCTATACATTTATTTTTATCAATTTTAACTCCTAAAAATTTTATTAACAATAATAAGTATTAATTAATTACAAGTAATCAACAAAAATAATAAATTATCTAACCTTTAAATACTCCAGATTTACCACCAACAAACATATCAAAGTCATTCTTGAAATTCATTGTTATTAATTATATATAATTCACTTAACCGATATTTATTTATTTATAATAATCTATTATTATAAAATTAAAAATTTATATTTGTTTTACTAACAAAATTCTAAAAAACACGTCAACACGTGGTGTGTGTTGTCTCTACAGTGTCAACACTTTGAATTATTTAGTGACCGCATGGTGGCGCTAAACTAGATTTTTTAGCGCAATAATAAATTCTAAGCTCATATATCGCGCATTATATATATATATATATATATATATAATTACCGAGATATTAATATTTCAAGTCAGCAAAAATCTCAGAAAAAACTCATATATATTTTTAAAAAAAAATTTCAAAAATTCGAAATTTTGCTTTTTAAGTTAGTTAGAATTATTTTATAGCCAAGTAAGTCTTTTGTTTTTGTGATAGTTCTCTCAATTAAAGAAAGTGCTAGTTAAAGCACCTTTCCAGAACTGGAAAACTTCTGTGAGTGTTTGTAAGAGGTGCTAAATTCAAAGCACCCTTCTCGTAGGATGTAGTATATGTGTGGTAGGCTTAGAATAATTCTAATCAAAAATTAAATTTCAACCGAGAAGAGAAAAAAAATTTCGAAAATAAATTATTTATAAATTTAAATAACTAGGTCACAAGTGATACTGCTTAATTAGCAAAAAAAATCTATAAGATTTCTTAATACGGAAAAAGAATATTTTTGCTGACAAGAATGTAGGTGCGAGTACGCGTGAGGCAACCACCTCGAATAAAGAACGTCAGCGAATTCTTTATTGCAATATTAGACTACGATAAGTAGAGTATGCCAAAAGGTTAAAAACCTATATGAGGTCGAAAACCGATGATGAAAAATAGTATTGCTAAATATCGAAATAACTCCTTTAAGCAAAAAATATGACGAATGAAAAAATTCTTTTGCAAATTATGGGAACAATTTAATGTGAATCAAAAATTTTCAACAAAAATTCTAAAATTTCAGAAGTTAATATTTTATATAAAATTTAAGAAGGGAAAAAAATATAAAAGTTAAGAAGAAAAGAACTTGATAAATTTAGCTAATAAGAAAAAATTTTTAAATTGTCAAAATTAAACACAATTAAACTCGAATTTATTCAGACAATGGAATTTTAAATTTGATTTTAATAAAGGTAGAAGTAGATCAGAACAAAGATATATTCAAAGGTGAAAAATCTCTTTTATGGAAAAAAATTTATAAAATAAATAGAAAAAAAAATGGGAATAAACCAAAAAAAAGTTTTCAAACAAAAAAATTTCTGGATAGATCAGAGTATATGAAGAAGAATATTATAAGATTTTCAGAACTTTTAAATAAAATTTAAAATTTAGTTCTTTAGAAGGAAATTTTAAAGATGTCAAAATTAAATAGAATTAAACTTGAATTTACTTTGAACAGCAAAATTTACTTTATTTTAAAAAGACAGATTTAAAAGAAAAAGAGGAAATATTTAACGATTATAAATTTTCTCAAACAAAAGTTAAATAATTTCGTATTCGAAATCCCATTGCTGCAACCAGTGTTCTTTATGTTATGTCCAAGGGCATTTTTAGAGCGGTAGCGTGAACGGTGGAGGTTTGGACTAACAGTTTAAAGAATACACAACGGAGGTTTTAATTCCGTTTTTTAATTATTATTTATGTGGGACGTTTTCGATGTACGAATTTACCACGCCTTCGTTTGAGACTGTACACGGATTTTAATTGGGAGTAGATGTACTTACTACTTGCTGGATAATTTCTTAAGATCGGATCCGTGATTCCGGGGCTGATCGTAGTGCCTTTTCCTTGATTGGACCCTCTGTTGGTATTTGCAGCGGATGGATGTGGTTGGATTTGGGCTGCTTATTCTAAGGGCTCCTTATTTTATATAATGAATTTATTCGAAACATATTTCACTTTTTAAGATTTATTTTAATAAACACCAAAACCTTTACACTTTCACAATTTTTATTAGATCAATTTATTAGATCAAAATTAATATTGATGAATTTTATTTATTTGAGCTAACGTCCTCCAGTCTCCGTAGGGTAAAGAGCGCAAATTTAGCTTTTGAAAGATCATAGTTACTTATTGACCGAACTCTCGCCTAAGTGCAGGGCAAATTAAGACTTTGAGAATCCGATTCTCTAGGTTTTCTTGCTGGTCAAAATCTCGCCTAAGTGCAGGGCAAATTAAGACTTTGAGATTTGACTCTCTAGATTTTATCTACTGATCGAGCTCTCGCCTGAGTGCAGGGCAAATTAGAACTTTGAGAATCCCGACTCGTCGACAATATTAATAACTAATACGTGGCCTGCCGGTTGAACCGTGTCTGAACTCGTTTTAAGTGCAGCGCAAATTAAGATAAGGGACTAATACAAGACACGGGCCTGTCAAGTTAAACGCGGAAGTCGAATTAACTAACAAAAGACTTGGATTTGGCTGTTGATCGCCTTTTTAAAAACTCGCGGTGCTGAGATTGCAGAAGTCCCCGCTAGTCAACCAGCAGTCACGTAGCTTACATTTTATTGTGGCTTTCGCGCATGGAGAAGTCTTCTATCTGCGCGGGTGATTTAAATTAAAATAAAAAAATTGCGGGTGGACATAACAAAGTTTAGCAAAGATTTTCTTCAGTACTTTATCTTACTCCAACTTTTTCTATATTGCTCTTATAAATAACGAATATTAGACTCTTTTCCATAACAAAAATGAGTGAAATTACCTAAAAAATTCGGCAGTTCGGAGATCAGGCAGTGCAGGAGTTCGTCCGACATTGAATAAAAATTTACTTTCATGACGTGCTCCAATTAAGGGAGTAGGTGGGGGTGCCTCAACTCCATTAATTGAACTTATTTCATTGTTGAATAACGTTTGTGATGGGGGAGACTGAGTTGTTGGACCAGTGGTGTGCTGGGAAATGGATATTGTTGAGTTCTTAAAGGAAGCTTCTGCATTTTTTCCTCCACTCTTCACTATGGTTGATGTTGAATTTGAGACAGCGGGTGGTGATAATTCTAGTGAATCATCTGCTAAATCCATACTATCATCATGCTGCTCACTGTCCGTCGTCGTTATCTGTATATTAGGTCAAGCATATAATTTAATTATTACCATTTTATACTACTATTAGTCATCCGTCACAATAAATAATTAATTGAGTACGTTTTATCTAGATGCTATAATTAACTCAACGTCTAATTAGTCATATTGGATGTGTTATATTATGCTTAGCATAAGAGTAATATCGTATTAATAATATTATCGTGGTCGAAATATGGCAATGTTTGGATTGTAACTATAAATTAAATAAATGATTAAAAGAAGTCAAATTATTATAGACTTTCAGATAACTCGCAAAATCTATTAAGTTTAAGATAATAAGTAACTATGTTTATCGATCAAAATAAAAGAAAAAAGTTTGGAAAATCCAAAAATGCACGCCTCATAATCTCATTTTTTAAAATAAAATTGATTAAAATTAAATAAAAAAGCAAAATAATAAAAAACAGAAAACACTGCTATGGTTTAGTGACGCCATAACTGCAAGGTAAGGAAAACAAATACTATAATAAAATGTAGGTATAGATAGAAATACAAAAAAATCCACAGTCTTATATTAGTTTTCTATAAATAATAATTTAACGACAGTGAATCGAACGCTCATATTAACTAAGAAATTCTGTCGTGTGTTACTTTAGATAATTAAAAAAAATTATTCCGGTACGATCATTTTTTCGACCAATTTCCCTGCCACATACACCCATTCATACACGGTCGTCCAAAAAAGATTGTTTAATGTTATTATTTATTATGTTAAACAAAAAAATTGTTATTGAAATGTATTTTATGTACCTGAAAAATTATTTGACTTGACATAAGTGTACTTATTTTAACCTGTAAGTGCGATATAAATAACAAAAAATTAATTTCAGTTTCGAGAAAACTGCTTTTTTCGAAATGTCGAGAGTAGAGCACAACCTCAACGCTTCGCTTAGGAGACGTGCAATACTTTGTAATAAAGGCCCTAGGGTATAAACATAGTTAATTTTCCCTAGAAAGATATCGGCAGGATACTGGGAGGATTTTCGAGTACTAATAAGATAATAAGATCCTGAAAGTTTGAAATCTCTCTCTAATCCATTTGGTATTTGAGGAGAAGCCAAATGTGTAAAAATCAGACAAAATGAATATTCTCAGGAACGCACCAATCAATTTATTCGAATTTTGGATATGTTTTGGGGGTTGATGGTAGCTTCTAGAAAAAAAATCTGGAAAACGGTTGACCCTAAAGGCCACCCTTGCAACTTCCCGCCAATTCCATATCTAAACGCTTGCGATTGGATTTATGACGTTTCTGAGCTCTTCGAGCTCAAAAATACAATTTGTGTGTTATTTCGAGCTCTCAAAGCTCAAAGAAATAGCTTTTGTATGCTTTTGAGCTCTTCGAGTTCAAAAGGCTGATAGAAGTTTAATAAATAAGTATTTTTTGAATTTTCAAATTGCAATAATTTCTAAATGAATGAATCGATTTTCACGTAGTTGGCAGTATTCAACGCACTTTTTCAGAATCTATGCTAAATTACAGCGAACCGAATCGATTCAATTTTTAACGAAAATCAATGACAATGATACTCTTTGGATCGCCACCTATTTCGATCCAATCGGCCGAGCCGTTCAAAAGTTATAAGAGGTTTACATACACACACACACACATACACACACACACACACACACACACACACACACACACACACACACTGCGGCAGAGGAGAAACTGCTACCAGGCACGTCTCCCCGTAGCGGATGGGTTGACACTCGCTGTCCTTGGATGACACTTGGATAATCTCTCAGTTGATGAGGTACAACGGGTAGGAGCCAAGCAAAATAACCAAACAAAATACGCTCCCGTGGACAAAACTCCCCTTTAATGGGTTGGTCACACTAACTGACCTAACAAGACGATCGGTCCCTGCTGTAACTCGCTGGGAGTGTCCGGAACCTGTATCGTAGT